AGTTAAATTCATTAATTCCATTAGCCCCCGGACACATCTTCCTTGATTTATCACTGTGAACTTTAGAGGCTCTATTCAGGCCCCCTCTTTTTGAGTATATGGGGAATTGCATTTGCCTTAAACCACTACAACCTCCCGTTTAAGACACTTTCATATTTCATCATTTGTATACGGAGAATATGGAATCCAATGTACATATATTACTTTTGAGGATATTTAATTTGAAAAGTCTCAGTTAATACAGATGAATATTGCAAACAGATTTAAAAATACAGGTTTCTGGGGCACTGCTGAGCATTCACATCAGGGCAAATTGCTTAGAAACAGGGCTATGTACAGCCCAACATTGGGGGTCTTCCACTATAAGGCACACCAGACCAGTCACAAAAGAGCACTTCTGTTTGCCGCACTGGCCAGCAAGAAGTCACACAAGCAATCCACTCCAGCTTCTCCAGTGCAACAACCAGTACCCCTCCTTACACAGATGAGAGGTTATGAAAACCAATCTCAGCAAATCCAAACAGGTTCTTCTGATCCCAGAGGACCAGCCACATTCCCAGATTAATGTATACCTCAGATCTTACCCAAAAGATCACACTGTTTCCGTCCTTTAGAATCTAAAATCTAAAGATTTATTAACAAAAGAAATAAAAGGTTGTGAGTAAAATTGTTAAAAGAAATATATTACATACACCAATTACAAAATTCCTGATACAGGCCCATAGCAGAGATGGAATAAAGTGCTCTCTTAAAAAACTCTGGAATATATTTTTGATGAGTTGAGTCATCAGTCTTTTCAGGCTCAGTTCATAGCAAAGATGCTCCTGAGGTAATGATCTGGAATGAAGACAAAGTTGGAGAAAGCCATAGGGTCCTTTTTATGACCCTGTCCATATGGATGTAATTCTGTTGTTCCCAATGGCTACGTCTATTCTGCACCCTTCTTCTACAAAAACTTATGCAAATGAAATATGGAGCAGAATATCGCCATGCTTCATTTGCATAATTAATTAAGGGCCGTTTTTGCGCAAGAGGCTTTTGTGCAAAAAGGAGCTGTGTAGACGGCTCCTGTTTGTGCAAAAAACCCCTCTTGCACAAGAGCCATTCTTCATTTTTTCAGTACGGACGTAGCCTTTGTGTGCAATTGGAATTTGTCACATGAGCAAGTCACCTGTCCATGTCCATTTTTTAGGTAAGCAGCCATGGTGTACATGCTGGTCTGTAGGTTCACAGCACAGTTCCTCAGATGTCCACTGGCATTAAGGTCCATTGTCAGTCAAGTACTCCAATTCACTTGACTCTCCACCTTTTCACAATATGTGTGTGAAGCCTGATGATAGCTCCCAGAAGCAAATACTTGGTGGAATGCCAATACATAGCCAATACTTATAACTTTAAATACAAAAATCACACATGCATTATGAATAGTACAAAGAAAATCAGCAAACATAAGCTTTCAATAGACATCTCACTTGGCCCACTGTGTACAAAATTTGGGGCAAAAATATAAGAGGGTTTAATAATGTTCTGCATGTCCACATCAAAAATCCAATAATGTCACATGGGCAGTTTTTAATTTTTATTTGAGCCCCAAGTTATTTTCTATAATAACAAACAGTAAAGAAGTATCAGTGACTCACCATTCATTAAAATAGACAGCTCCCAATCTTTCCAGAGGGATTCAGTCTAACTATAAATCAAACATAAGGACTACACATCAGTGCAGTGTAGTCCTTTCCATTCCTCAAACCTAAATTGTATGCAATGCTTTTAGCTTTATTGAGCAAGGCACTAGCGAACATTAGGTAATACAAAGAGTGATTAATTTTCCTGCATTCAAAAGCAAGTTTCAGCAATCAAGGCAATAAGCTAATTTGTTAGGCTACGTCTACATTTGCAAGATTTTGCACAAATACTTTTAACACAAGAGTTTTTGCGTTAAAGTATTTGCACAAGAGAGCATCTACACTGGCACGTGCCTTTGCGCAAGAGATGTGCTTTTGCGCAAGAGCATCCATGCCAGTGTAGACGCTCTCTTGTGCAAGAAATTAACGTTGCCTGTCTACACTGGCCTCTTGCGCAAGAACAATTGCGCAAGAGGGCTTATCCCTGAGCGGGAGCATCATCGTTCTTGCGCAAGAAGCACTGATTTAATACATTAGAACGTCAGTGTTCTTGTGCAAGAACTCCCCACCAGTGTAGACAGGCAGCATGTTTTTGCGCAAAAGCAATTGCTTTTGCGCAAAATCATGCCAATGTAGACACAGCCATAGAGTTTCATCGATATGCTAAACTTACACACAAAAAAAAACAATTCCATGTATACAGAAAATGAGGAAATTGCAAGAATTCATTAACAAACTTGTGATCTCTACTTGTGTAGAAAAAACAGTAGACATTTCAAAGTACAAATTCTAAAGCTGGTCAGAATGTTTCTAACAATGTTTTTATGTTGAAAAAAGATTATTCATTTGGAGGAAAAAGGAAATCATTTTGACAAGGTCACTTCAACACTTTTCATTTCCATTGTTTATATTATAAAATACTAAAAAGTCAAAATCAAAACAAAATGCTTCAATTGACATGAAATGCTTTTTTGAAAATGTTCTTTCATGGGAAATTTTTGTTGTTCTCACAAAACAAGCTTCAGTATGGAATTACCATTTCTTAAGAACCTAATTTCAACACGTGTCTAATAGATTCATAGACTTCAGAGTGAGAAAGGACCACTGTAATCATCCAGTCTCGCCTCCTAATTAACACACCAAGTAATTCCTGTTACAAGTTCATAGTTTCTGGTTGAGCTACATCATCTGTTTTGTAAGAACTTCCTATGTCTTACTCACTTTTTGTAGTGCTGAAAGACAAAGGCTACACAACACTTCAGGATGAAGCCATCAAGATATTTAATTCTCTGCAGCAGCTAGAATCCATGTCTGATCCAATACCTATAATCCAGGGTATCCTTCAGACAGGGCATGATTTACGACCCCTTCGAGATGAGCTCTACTGTCAACTTATCAAACAGACTAACAAAGTACCTAACCCAGGAAGTGTGGGGAATCTGTACAGCTGGCAGATACTCACCTGCATGAGTTGCACATTCCTGCCCAGTCGTGGTATCCTCAAGTATCTGAAATTCCACCTCAAAAGGTAAGAGGCAACAACACATGCTTAAGATATAACAGGAGTAACAGTTAATTCGAGTGAAGGGTTTTGGATTGGACTAACGCTTCTACACGTGGCAAGTTAAATCGGGCAACTGGCATTTTAAAATGACGACCGGCCATGAATATGCTAATCAAGAACACGATATTTAAATCCCACGCTTCATTAGCAACTTCGGTATGCTTCATTTGCCTCCCTAGTCCAAACTAGGGGGCAAGTGTAGACATGCCCGAAGATATTATGTTAAATATTTTTTCAAAATATTTACTTTTCTGACGTTTAAAGTCAGAACTTTACTATTTAAAAAGGATCTATTTACTAACTTTGCTACTTAGAAAGGGAAGTGTTTTTAAAATTTACGTTTCATCACAATTTTTGTTGTCTATTTGGACAATGAAATAGAATAGTTAGTTTCACTCTGGATTGTACTATCATTAGGTTCACTTTTGATTCTAATATTGTAAAAGGTTAAAAAGTGACTGGTTCATTGGAAAAGTTATTCCTTTAAAAATAAACTGTTTCTGTTGGAATTTAGATCATGTCAACATTCCTGTTGATGTTTGTATTGGTACAAATTCACATTTTACAAAATCAAAGTTTTGCATCTGAATTACATGATTTCCTTTTAACTGAAATTGTTCCTTGAGTGTTTGTGAAGCATTTAGCGATCACTAGCTAAAACTTATGAATGCAGATTTATTATTTTAAAACAGTACACATTGATGTTTATTTTTAAGCATTTTTCACAATACAGGGTGAACCTCTCTAGTTGGGCAACATCTGTGGTACAGCATGGTTTTAGTTAGCTGTCCACTTATCATGGGTGTGGCCAAGTTTCCTATGGCCCCATAAAGTTTTTGTACAGCCACCACTCCTGGCTCTCAGGGTTCTGTGCTGTTATTTTGCTCTAACTTACCCAAAATGTCTTGTAAGGGCCCAGCAAGCAGTGTAAGTGTTGGTAATGCTACTAAACATTAGCATGGTTTTTATGCTTAATCTACTTATTTCCTTGTGCCAATATAATAAAATGGTGTAAAAACACTAACACTTTGTTATAGGGACAGCTAATAAGCCTTGGCTAGGCATAGGCTTAAATAGGGCATAGCAGTATAGTGATACGTTATTAAGCAGTATTGCAAGCATTGTTATTTTTATTCACCTCCGTGAAATACAAATAAAAAAAAGACCCACTCGCTATAATATTGACCTCCTGTGGTTTGGCAAATTCTCTAGTTCAGCACAGGAATTTTTAAATGCAAGTATTTAACTAATTGAGTGGTCGATAGAATTTTTATCAGCTGCTTCAAGGCACTAGCCCCTGTTCCTTTCCCCCGCTTCTGTTAGAGGCAGTAGCAGCGAAGGGGATGGATGGAACTGTGGAGATGGTGCTGGGGGGAACTGGCTTCTGCAAGGAGAACAATTTTTCTCTTTCCTTCTTGTTACACCCTTTTAGATGCTTGAAAACTGCTATCATGTCCCCTCTCCATATTCTCTCTTCTAAACAAGCCCTATTCTTTCAGTCTTCTCTCATAGCTCATGTTTTCAAGGCTTTTAATCATTTTTGTTGCTCTTCTCTGAACCTTCTCCAATTTTCCACATCTTTCTTGAAATGTGGTGCCCAGAACTGGACATGGTACTCCAATTGAGGCCTAATCAGCACCAAGTAGAGTGGAAGAATGACTTCTCATGTCTTGCTAATGCACCTCAGAATCATGTTTGGTTTTTTTGCAACAGCGTCACACTGTTGATTTAAATTTAGCTTACGGTCCACTATGACCCCTAGATCCCTTTCTGCAGTACTCCTTCCTGCACAGTCACTTCATATTCTGTATGTGTGAAACTGATTGTTCCTTCCTAAGTGGACTACTTTGCATTTGTCCTTATTGCACTTCATCCTTTTTACCTCAGACCATTTCTCCAGTTTGTCCAGACCATTTTGAATTATGTCCCTATCCTTCAAAGCACTTGAAACCCCTCCCAGCTTGGTATCATCTGCAGATTTAATAATCGTACTCTCTATGCCATCATCTAAATCATTGATGAAGATATTGAACAGAACCGGTCCCAAAACAGACCCTTCTGGAACCCGACCTGTTATGCCCTTCTAGCATGAGTGTGAACTGTTAATAACTACTCTCTGAGAATGGTTATCCAGCCAGTTATGCACCCATCTAAGTTGTATCTACTTTATTGATAAGAAGATCATGCGAGACTGTATCAAATGCTTTAGTAAAGTCTAGGTATATTGCATCCACCGCTTCTGCCTTATCCACAAGACTTATTATCCTATCAAAGAAAGCTATCAGATTGGTTTGACACGATTTGGATAAATGGACTGTAAGATGGATAGAAACCTGGCCAGACTGTCGGCCCCAACGGGTAGTGATTAATGGTTCTATGTCAGGTTGGTGGTCGGTTTCTGGTGGAGTGCTCCAAGGATCGGTTCTAGGGACGATTTTGTTCAACATATTTATTAATGACCTGGATGAGGGGATGGATTGCACCCTCAGCAAGTTTGTGGATGACACTAAGCTAGGGGGAGAGGTAGATACTCTGGATAGCAGGGATAGGGTCCAGAGTGATCTGGACAGATTAGAGGATTGGGCCAAAAGAAATCGGATGAGGTTCAACAAGGACAAATGTAGAGTCCTGGACTTAGGATGGAAGAATCCTAAACATTGTTACAGGCTGGGGACCGAATGCTAAGTAGCAGTTCGGCAGAAAAGGATGAGAAGCTGAATATGAGTCAACAGTGTGCCCTTGTGGCCAAGAAGGCGAATGGAATATTAGGTTGCATTAGGAGGAGCACTGCCAGCAGGTCTACACAGTGATTATTCTTCTTTATTCAGCTCTGGTGAGGCCACATCTGGAGTAATGCATACAGTTTTGGGCCCCCCTCTATAGAAAGGATGTGGACTCATTGGAGAGGGTCTAGCGGAGAGCAACCAAAATGATTAGGGGGCTGGAGCACATGACATATGAGGAGAGGCTGAGGGATTTTGGTTTAGTCTGCAGAAGAGAAGAGTAAAGAGGGGGATTTGATAGCAGCGTTCAACTTCTTGAAGGGAGGATCCAAAGAGGATTGACAGAGGCTGGTGTCAGTAGTGACAGATGGGAGAACAAGGAGCAATGGTCTCAAGTTACAATGGGGGAGGTCTAGGTTGGATATTAGGAAAAACTTTCACTGGGAGGGTGGTGAAGTCAAACTGACTGGTCTTTAGTTTCCTGGGTTGTTCTTATTTCACTATAAACAGTACTTCTATAGTACCCATGGGTATGTCTAGAAATGTAATTTTCAGCTCAAGTAGATTTACAAACATTAGCTTTGATTGAGCAAGTATGCTAAAAAGAGCAGAGTAGGCCTGGGCGAAGCTTACCACTGTAAAAAGTTACCTAGGATCTCTGATGGGAGCGTTGTACAGGCAGTCCCCGGGTTACATAGATCCGACTTACATCGGATCCCTACTTACAAATGGGGTGAGGCAACCCCGCACTAGCTGCTTCCCCCCAGCAGACCAGGGAGATGCGAAGCTAGCGCCCCCCCAAGCAGACCAGGGAGACGCGGAGCGGCTTTTCTCAGCAGACACCTCAGCTTGAGAATAAAGGACTGAGGGAAGTGAGGTGTGGGAGAATAAAACTGAGCTCTGGCGAAATGTTTGGCTAGAGTTTCCCCTACAATATGTACCAGTTCCGACTTACATACAAATTCAACTTAAGAACAAACCTACAGTCCCGATCTTGTACGTAACCCGGGGACTGCCTGTACTTGAGCAACTAGCCTCCCACACTACTTTTGCAGCCAGTGCTATTTTTAGCATAGTAGCTAAATCAAATCTACCAAATGTACACCTGCTCAAGCAGGAACTTGTTCCTCCACTGTAGATTTACCCTCTGATTCAGGGATCTTGTAGCCCTTTTCACTCTTTAATGAATTAAGCCTCACAGTGCTCCTGTGAAAAAGGTGGTATTCTGTTTTACACATGGGCAGAGCATGGAATCTGCGCTACAAGTTATCTAAGGTTACAGAGGGACAGATTGTGCAAGGAGTATATTGTGTGAATGAATACAGGCAGTCCCCGACTTACGCGGACCCGACTTACGTCGGATCCGCACTTACGAACGGGGCTTTCTCGCCCCGGAAGTCGGGGCGAGAAAGCCCCGTTCGTAAGTGCGGATCCGACGTAAGTCGGGTCCGCGTAAGTCGGGGACTGCCTGTATTCATTCACACAATATACTCCTTGCACAATCTGTCCCTCTGTAACCTTAGATAACTTGTAGCGCAGATTCCATGCTCTGCCCATGTGTAAAACAGAATACCACCTTTTTCACAGGAGCACTGTGAGGCTTAATTCATTAAAGAGTGAAAAGGGCTACAAGATCCCTGAATCAGAGGGTAAATCTACAGTGGAGGAACAAGTTCCTGCTTGAGCAGGTGTACATTTGGTAGATTTGATTTAGCTACTATGCTAAAAATAGCACTGGCTGCAAAAGTAGTGTGGGAGGCTAGTTGCTCAAGTACAGGCAGTCCCCGGGTTACGTACAAGATCGGGACTGTAGGTTTGTTCTTAAGTTGAATTTGTATGTAAGTCGGAACTGGTACATATTGTAGGGGAAACTCTAGCCAAACATTTCGCCAGAGCTCAGTTTTATTCTCCCACACCTCACTTCCCTCAGTCCTTTATTCTCAAGCTGAGGTGTCTGCTGAGAAAAGCCGCTCCGCGTCTCCCTGGTCTGCTTGGGGGGGCGCTAGCTTCGCATCTCCCTGGTCTGCTGGGGGGAAGCAGCTAGTGCGGGGTTGCCTCACCCCATTTGTAAGTAGGGATCCGATGTGCTTCTGCTGAAACTGACCAGCGCTGACTACAGGAAGCCCCAGGCAGAGTTGCTCTGCCCCGGGCTTCCTGGAATCAGCTGCTGATCAGTTTCAGCAGCAGCTGACTTGGGGACGCCTGGGGTTCTTAAGTTGATTCTGTATGTAAGTCAGAACTGGCGGTCAGTTTCAGCAGTGTCTGAATCTGGACGCCAGTTCCGACTTACATACAGATTCAACTTAAGAACAAACCTACAGTCCCTATCTTGTACGTAACCCGGGGACTGCCTGTACTCACCATCATGAGTAACTGTTATACAATATAACCCAGCCATAAGGAGAAATCAGAAGTCTGGACACTCTGCTCTAGCTGGTAAACTACACCCTCTCTAGTGCCACTGTTGCAGTATTGAATAATTGAGACACATTTTGCTGGATTTTTTTTCTTAATATTGGTTCTTGGGGGGGAGGGGTGAAGGAGAAACACTGTCATCAAAATAGAACATATTAAGGCTATCTCTTTGCTGCCAGGAAGGTTTGGTTCTACAGCGGGATATCTTATATAATTGTTATCTTGCTGTACAATCCTAGTGGAAACAAGACACCTGTCATTCTTATAAGGGAGCAGGGCAAGATCAACATTAATGCCCTCCCTTGCCCTCTACTCCTGCAATGGTTCATCTCAACTACATTTTCTCATGATGTAAGCTACAGTGTCATCTCCACTAGAGATTTTACAACAGGATAGCTAATAAGTATTAGATGTTATGCAGGGAAAAGGGGGGAGGCTAGCAATGAAGACAAGCCTCTGTGTGTCAGTACACAACTGTACTGATTTGCAGTAACCACTAGAGAACTTTGTATATCAATTCCTCAATGTCATTAAGTCCCTTGGGCTCCCCGCAAATCTTCCATTTTATTATCAGGTGATTTGAGTTCAGTGTTTTGTCACACAGGATTCGTGACCAGTTTCCAGGAACAGAAATGGAAAAGTATGCCCTCTTCACTTATGAATCTCTCAAAAAAACTAAATGCAGAGAGTTTGTGCCATCGCGGGATGAAATAGAAGCCTTGATCAGAAGACAGGAAATGACATCTACAGTTTATTGCCATGGTGGTGGTTCCTGTAAAATCACAATCAACTCCCATACCACAGCTGGAGAGGTGAGAAGAGGTTGTGACAGAGCAGGGTATCATAGAGATAAAGTGTTAAAGTCTTCTTGTGGACTCTACAATTTTAGCCATTAATTCTCTCAGAAACTCTGGAGGTGCTGCAGAGTTTATAGGGCTGCCTACTTTATTGACCCAGGTGATGGCCATGCTTTTTTGCCTTACAGAGACTTCATCTTAATTTTCCTTAAACTTAATTACCCTCTAAGATACTAACATTATTTTATGATTTTGTTTGTGTGCTTTTTTCATTAGGTTGTTGAAAAGTTAATCCGAGGCTTAGCCATGGAGGATAGCAGAAATATGTTTGCCTTGTTTGAGTATAATGGAACTACTGACAAAGCAATTGAAAGCAGGACCATTGTGGCCGATATTTTGGCAAAGTTTGAAAAGTGAGTGTCCTTCTTTGTGCTAATAAGCATCAATTAAAAAAGAAAATTTCCTAACATCAGCAATATGCTAAATTCTCCCTTTCTTTATTCATTTGTGGTGAGACAGCATATACAACTGCATTCCACATACTGTTGTTTCTGAAACAACAGCATCTTTTTTAGAATGATAAATTAAGTGCTTGATTTCCTCAGTCTCATGACAATGAAATACATATTTTCCATCATGGTGGTTTTTGCATTCTGTTGTTTCTTTTTCTGTCTCCCCAACTCCCATTCTCTTCCCACCCCCAACCCTAGTCACATCTATGCTTGCCTTTTCTTCGCTAAAGTTTCCCACATTACTGGTTCTGATGTGGCTCCATGGATGGGAGCAGTGCTAGAAGCAACAATATAAGCAGGATTCAAGGCAGTCACTATTTCACTTAAGCTTGCTCAGAGCTGGTCTACATGGCATGATGCTTAAAATACTAGTGCTCTCAATTATCGCTACTGCCACTGATAGCAATGGTGGGAGATTTTAGGAAAAATCCCACAGTGTAATTCAAGTTTTAAATCCATATTTCTCTCATCTATGGCTACTGTGCATGGTGTTCAACTATTTGTAAATACACTTATAGTAAAAATATTTGTAGTAGCTCCTACAGAGATTCCTTACATTTCAGTATTATTAGCCAGTCACACTTTCTAAAATCATTGGTGTTTTTCTCTCATTACACATTGTTCACAATTTCGTTCCTTGGATTATTAATAGTTTGTGGTGGAAACAATCCTGATTTGAGGCAACTAACATTTGTAATACTAGACTCTCTTTGTAGACTGACTGAGCAAAGTAATTTTTTAAAGCAAATTAAAAATACTAGGCCAAATTCTTTATATGTTACCAGTGTCAGTAGAATTATTCCAGATTTACACTGGGTATAACATAGAGCAGAATGTGGTTGCTATCTTGTGTGGAATCCTCAATGTCTTATCAATTTAGAAAATAGTTCTGGTCACTGCTGTCTGCTCCAAACTTCTGTTTCTAGGCTTGCTGCCACTTCAGATGCTGGGGACGTGCTATGGAAGTTCTACTTCAAGCTTTACTGCTTCCTGGACACAGAAAATGTGCCAAAAGACAGTGTGGAATTCGCATTTATGTTTGAGCAGGTAAAGAATGGGGGAAATGAATGGGGGAAATGAAGTGTGTGGAGTTGGGTTGCAACTATATATGTAATTTTGTCCTAGAATTGACTTCATTATTGCAGAGGACAGAACTGGAGGCATCTGTGGGTGTAAATTGATCTTAAAATAGTGACAGGAAAGTTTTAATTTTGCTTGATAACAAGCCCTCTATTATAATCAGCAAAGATTCTCACCGTTGGGATTTCTTCTTTTCTTGGAGTGCTTACTCATGTCCATTCCATAAGAGGTGTGCATGCTAGTCATGTACACCACTGCTGGAAATTTTTCCCCTACCAGTACCTGTAGGGGAATGCCTCTAGAGACTCCTAGAGTGGTACCTCCATGGCATGGTATAAGGGGTACTGCATACTCCCCACATCCTCAGTTCCATTTTGTCACAAGTGCTGGTGCATTGGAACAGCTTTGCTCCATCCTCGGCTGTTGTCTTCTCCCCGCTGATATTTTTGTCCCTAGTAGTTAATTAGAGAAGCTGGTCCCCCGACAGGACTTTGACCTGGTTTGGGGGCATACCTTGGTCTTCAGGGTTTAAGCCTTGTGACTCATGCAAATGGTCCATACCAGTCAGCGACCTGCACAGAAGCTGCCTGCTTTGTCATAGCAAAATACACATCAGTGTCAGGTGCAAAATTTACAAATCCTTCCAACCTAGAACTAAGAAAGAATCTGGCTTAGTGCCTTCATGATGGAGTCAGCCTTAATCCCATCACCAGTGCACCAACTAATATGCAGGGTAAGGAAGCTAAATATTGACTGACTAATCAAACAGTCAATGCATTTTGCATCATATATTCGATTAGTCAATGGGGCGATTCTGCCTTTGAAGTGTAGCAACAGCCCTAGTCCTGGGCTCCATGTGGCACTGCCACTTTAAAACACCACGAGGAGCCTGACACCGGGCTCCCCGTGGCGTTTCAAAGTGGCAGCACTGCATGGAATCCAGGATCAGTTGGGGACACCCACGCTGATCCCGGGCTCCACGCAGCACTGCCGCTTTGAAACGCTGCGTGCATCCTGGAGACACTCCAGGTGGCCATAGGCTGCATTCCAAAGCGGCAGCACCACATGGACCCCGGGGGGCTGGTCCCAGGCTTCAAGCAACACTGCTGCTTTGAAATATCCCATCCCCGCCCTTGCTGCCTCTTTCTGATAGAAGCAGCAACAGGGGAAGCAACTAGTCGACTAGCATGTTGACTATCTGATAAGCATTTGCTAATTGGATAGTCGACTAGTCCTTCAATCCCTACTGTAGGGCTTGGTGTGTAGTGCCCCGGCAGCACGATCTGCCTGTTGGCACCGTCCTCTCTCCCCAGCCCTGTTGAAGAAACCAGGGAGGGCAGCAAAGGGGACAAGGTGGCAGACAAGCGCTGGCCTGTGTTGAGTGGCTCCTACTCTCGGTTGAGTTCACGGGACCTGAATCGGAAGTTCATGGGACCTGACTCAGAGCAGAGCACCCCGGTCCACTCTCTCTCTCCTTCCTCAGACATGAGCAGAATACTAAGTCACATTCAGGTGCCCTCCATGCCAGAGGCCCTGTAGGCTGCACAGGAGATACTGTCTCTGCTGGTACTGACATCCCAGGCCTCTGTGACTCTGTTCTAGGGGCACAGTGGGCTCTCTTCTGTGTTAGCATCCAACTCTCTGAAGGGAAGGGTCTAGGCACCATTCCCCAGCTTGTGATGGCTTGGAGTCAACGCGGGAGAGGTCAGCCCTGCTATTCCCCTTTTGACTATTGGGCTTGGTTCAAGACACAGAGACTTATGGCATGGTTCACTGATGCAAGAGTACGGACCCTTGGATGCATGTGCTTCATGCATTGAACTGAGGATCCATAAGCCCTTGGCACCATCAGGGTGCCAGTGTGAGCCAACTGTGTGGCCCCTTTCAAGGGCGCCTCTTCTCATGGGTTGTCAACAAGATCACTGATAAGAGCTTCTTTATGTTCCAGGTTGCAGTACTGAGAGAGAAGTGCTAGGCATAGTTAGTAGGCCACTGGCTGCCACAGATCCACTGACCGCAGCTGCTCTGTGAGCAGTTGGGCTTGGCGGGAACCCAGATTCTTGATACTAGACTCAGTCTCGAGCCCAGTACTGCTCCCAGTACACCTTGACAACTTCCCGATCACCAGGTTGTGGGTGCTTGGACTCTAACCAGTCTTCAGTCCAGAGTTCCCTACTGGTGCCTGACAAACCCTTCCCAGTGGGGCCTCCTGCTCCAATGGCATGGCAGCAGGTGCAATGGCACCAGGGTCCATGGCTGCCACCATGGTACAACTGGCCTCCCTGAATCTGACTTGTCCCAGGTGACCCAGTCAGTAACTGGGGTTTGGACAGGCATATGGTCCTGAGCCCTGTGCAGAGCCTTATATTGAAGAGTCTCCTTCAGCACAGGAGGAGGCACTAGGACTAGATTAAGGTCCTACTGTGGCACTGGGTCTCTCATAGGTGGGTGTAATCTGTCCTGTCCTTTGAGGAAATGGATCACCAACTGATGTACAGTAAAATCTGTGTTATCTGGCACGCTCGGGAATTAGGGCATTCCGGTTATCTAAAAATTCCTGTTATCAGGGTCCCATCAACCTACAAAAAACCAATGGACAATAATAGTAAAACTCAAGTCTTTAATATTGTTAATTTTGTAGTGTGAGGCAGCTGGTCTCATATTTCTAATTTGAGTTAAAGATTATTAGTACTTCTTAAATAAAAAATTGTTAAGCCAGGCCTGTGCGCCTGAAGATGTCACAGTATTGTCTGGGGCAATGCTGATTAACAAAGTTTTCTGGTTAACAGAGTGCCGGATAACAAAGGTTTTATTGTAGAACACTGATCAGCCTCTCAACCCCAGATGGAACATGGAGATTACTGCCAGATGCATGCTCATGGATGCTATCACTAGCCCCTGCTGTTTCACGTACAAGAAATAGCCCAAAATCAAGGGAATCAGTGCCTGCAAGGGCTGAATGATCTTTTGTAGGGACCAGATGCAAAAATCTCTTACTGCAGGGTTCAGGGAGGGTGCCTCCCCCTTGGAGTCAGTGGGCAGCCACTCCCACCCACTACACCAGTGTTTCCCAACTTTATTTGGCTGAGGAACCCTTTTCAGCTTTTCAAAATTTCAAGGAACCCCTAGGTTTGTCGAGCAAAAAAAAAGGGGGGGGGGAGGAGAAAGGGACCCACCAATTCATGAAATTCACATTCCTTCCCCAAGAGCCTCCCCCCCCATCTCCCTTCTGTGAGGCCTCATCCGCTCTGTTCCCCTCCTCTCCATCACTTGCTATACCCAGCCCTTATACCTGTCTCAACCCAGTGAGAGTGAGGTGTGGGGTGGGAATGAGGGATTTGGGTGTGGGAAGGGGTGAGAAGTACAAGCTCTAGGAGGGAATTTGGATGCAGGAGAAGGGGCTGTTGACTCAGGGAGGGGGCTCTAGGCTGGCGAGTGTTGGGTTCAAGTGGAAGTTTGGGGTACTGAGCAAGCCAGGGCTTGTGGATTTGAGGATGCAGGAGTTTGGACTGGATATGTGAGGGACTCAGGGCAAGGAGGCTGTGAGTATGATGGGCTCAGGACACAGATTTGTGGTGTGTGGATGGTGGAGGAACATTGTGGCAGAAGACTGAGGATGTGGGGATGCAGGAGTGTGGGGATGTAAGAGGCTCAGGATGGGGGTTCCAGTGTATGATAGGCTCAGATTTGGGGTCAGGTGGTGTAGGAATGTTATGATGCTGCAGTGAAATGGGGGTTTGGTCCCAACTGGGACTGAGGATGTGGGGATGCAGGAGTGTGGGGATATAAGAGGCTCAGGACAGGGGGTTCCAGTGTATGATAGGCTCAGATTTGGGGTCAGGTGGTGTAGGAGTGTTATGATGCTGCAGTGAAATGGGGGTTTGGTCCCAATTGGGGGCTTGTTGGCCTGGCTTCATTTTTAAATAAAATATTATGTTAAACTCAAAAGGTTTTAGCATTGTCTTTATATATGAGAGGGGTGAG